GAAGGTTTGATAAAGTGTCTGATGTTTTGGTTTTGAAAATTGTGTGCTCAATGTCTAATTGCTTGTCTTTAGTCTGGATCTAAATTTTGAATATCTTTATGAGCGTTAATGCCATCAAGCAATATTGTGATGAATTTTTAGAATTTGAGTGATTTAATTTGTGTAACTTAGTTCCTTTATGAGTTTTATTCTTAAATTTGAATTTTATTTTTGGAACTATGGTGATTTTGAGTTGCTTGCTTTGTATCGTCTCTATGCATACATCAAGGAACTTCATGAGTTTACTGTCTAATATTTTTAGTCTGTGCTTACATGCTAATCTTTGATACTCGAGAGAGACCTTTGTTGTGTGTTTCTAATGGTTAACAGTTACAATGCTAGTTTGCCATAACAAGGACGTCATAGATCCTTGTGCCGAGTCTTGGCTAGAGAGTGGCTGTGCTGGCTTTTAAATCACAACAAACAAGCTTTCCAAGTTGGTGGTTGGCATGTCTTTCAAATAGGGGAGTGTTTCTAATTCATTATTATTTTTGCACTTCCTTTGAGTTTTGCATTTTCTTGATATTATGAAGATAGTCATATTTAAGTTTGGGAAAACAATGTCATGCCATGTTATTTTGATTATCATCTTTACATGACGTTAGTTTTTGTGGTTCTTTTATGTACTATGTCATGTGATTACTTGTTATTTCTCTTTCCCTGTGTGTTTATGTGGTCCATTGAGGGCAATGTCCATTTTAAGTTTGGGGGAGAGAATAGTTCATTTTTCGGGTAGTAGTGCATATGTCCTCAAGTATTCGGTTCAAACTCTTGTTTTTTTAAAAAAAAAATCAAAAAATGGTTTTGAAAAAAGATTTAAAAATAAAAAAAATTATTTTCAATAAAGTCAAGAAAGAATTGCATGCTTTGAGAATTGTCAATAATCTATGATGAATTTAATTTTGAGGGTTACATATGGTTATAAAAACATCTGTTCAGGATCACTCTTAGGCAATGTTAGAAATTCATGACCATATCCTTATGCACACTATTCCATGTGACAATGTGTTGCTTTGGGCTTAAACTTTTAAAATCTTGAATGTTAATGCATTGTTGTGATCTTATACTGGAGTCCACTTGTCGGAAACCTGGGAGAACTGTGAATCTGAGACTTAGACTAAGGCATGCCTAAACATTATGGCAGTCTCTAATCGAGTCCATAGTGGTTTGGATTAGCCTGAATACCTTGGAAAAATGGAAAGTTGGCGGTTGAATCTGAGATTAAGTGTTTTATCTAATGAGGGAGTAAAGGCAGTGTGTCCTATGTGGTATTTATTCCCTTGAGAGGTGAGGTATGGCACCAAAGAGAGGAGTGTCCTCAGGCCTGGTGAAATTAAAAAGAAATTAAATGCTTAGATTTTCATAGTTGCTGAAACATGCTCTTGGTAAATGCCTGAGTGGGAAAGAGTTCGAAGAAAAGCCAATTGGACCAAGGTGAAAAAGGTAATAGGGTGAAAAGATGCAGCCAATGATGCTTGCAGAAATGAGAGAAAGTTCTTAGTTCTGAATCTCAGTAAAAATACCCTAGTTGAAGACAAGAAGGAAATAGGTACTGATCACAAGAATGTCCACTTGACATAAGTTGAACCTAATTTTAGAATGGACAGTAGGTTAAGCAACACTTTGTTATTTGGTCTGTTTCACACACTCACGGATGTGAGTTTCTGACTTGCTCAAGTGGTACTGAAATGTGGTGTACTTTATCTGTCTCTTGTGAGACTTGAATCTGAGATAAATTTTGACAATTCTATTTATTTTTTTCTATAATAAAATGAGTTTTGAATATATTTGCTTGAGGACAAGCAAAGTCTTAACTTTGGGGGAGTTTGATGAGTCTAATATTTGCATACATTTTTGTATAACTTCACTTAAGATTTTGTGTTATTGTCTTTACTTAGTAAAATATATATATTGCAGGAATTGAGAGATTGGAAGTAATTGGAGTAAAAATGGACTAATTGGACTGAAATAAAGAAGAAAAGTAAATTTGGTGACTCAAGTGAATATTAGAAGAACTTGGAAGGCTGAAGGCAAAGAAGCTTGAAATTTGAAGGTCTAAACAACAAAACTGATCAACCAAAGTCCAATTCTGGCTGAGAATAGAAAGAGAAGAAAACTTGGGCCATCTGAAGTAATTAAATGAGTGGTCTGCTGAACTTGTCTTTTGCTAATGGACTAATTTAACTTGGGAGAGTGCAGCTGGATTTTGGATTATTTTGACAATAGAAAGCCTAGATAATCCAGGAGGGCAGCCCTAGTATGATCCCTTTAAGACCCAACGCGGAGAAGAAAAAAGGGGGAAGTTCGGCTGCGGAGTTCGACCTTGGGCAGAATTGGAGTCTCGCAAAGGAGTTCTTCGACGTGCTCAACAAAAGGAGAGGGGCAGCAGCCCCTTGCTGCTATCCTACACCCGTTATTCGTTTATTTTAATTTAATTATGTTTCAGTAATTTCGTTTTCAACTGTTAGAGTATATGAATGTTGTCTAAAGATTTATTTTACTTCGTTGGTGATTTAAATGACTATTTCTTCCGTTATAATTTACGGCAATTATCTTGATCACATATTTGTTTATGTTTGTGAATTTGGCATACTTAAGAATAAGATGTTAGATTTAGCTTTGTTGAAATAAGTCATAACTTAAACGTAAAAGTTTATGGTTCCTTACTAGATAGTAATATACTGGTAAGGCATCGTTGGCCATATGAGATACCCGAATTTAATGACTCTACAATTAAATTTAACCATAGGAATATAGGCTTGTGATTAGTTGTAGAAATACTCTTATGACTTCAGAAGAAGCTTAGGAATATAATTAGTAGATCCGATCATTATTTGTCATCATTGTTAGTATAATAATTATTTAGCAACTGAAGTGGAAATAACAGTTGAATTCATTACTTGGTTTGATTCTCTCATCACTTAGGTTCAGGATTTTATTTTCTATTTTCGTCATCTTTTTCTCTATTTTGGTTACTGTTAGAAACCTTGATATTTGATTTACCTCCCTGTGGGATTCGACCCTTCTTACAGTTTTATTGCGTTTTAGAGTAGGTTAATAATTGTTAGTTTGACACCCATCACATAACTTGTATCTTTCAATCTCTGTTTGTTTTCTTTAGTCTTATAGTCATGTTTTATGCTCAGTTGCTCATATATTTTTTATTTAAAATATTGATTATGAGTATCTAAGTTTATTGTTGGGGTTTAATCACTCTTTCTATGTGAAATACTTTAAATTTGCATTCAAACAATACAAGTGTGCACAATTTTTATATTTGAATTAACCTTCTATGTAGTCTGATCAACTAGGCACTTGTACATGCATGCTACAAATTTTCACCTAGTGTGTAGTCTGCAAAAAAGTTGACTAACACGGGAAGTGCTGATCATCGATCCACCTATTTTGTGCATTTGAAACATGATTTAGGATTCTTCTTACTACAAATTTCGATAAGACCTTTCATGTTGCCAATATTTTTACTCATTCCATGAACTCATCATCAAGAATCGGTATTGAATTTACCTTCACAATAAGATGGACAGAAAGATTTCATTTAAAATTTATAATACGCATGACTATAAAAGAGGGAAAAATTGGCATTTCTATCCAAATTTTTATATGTGTGGTCAATGTCATCTATTCTTTTTGTATTAGCCCCTATTGTGCTACTGTATGAATGTTTAGCCAAATTTGTCCCACGGGCTCAATTTCCGTTTAATTTAATGGATTTATATTAATTTTAATTATAAAAATAACCCTTAAAATATGTAAAAATTATAAAATAGTCATTTTTCACTTTTTATTTATTTATTTTTATTTTATATTTCTCTTTACTGTTTTCTATAACCATAAAAATATAATATATAATCTTTAAAGAAATATTTATTTATTTTTAGACTCTACTATATGAACTTATATTTACTTAATATCAGACACTTGTAAATCGATCTCTGAATATATTTTCTTTTCTGTTTCATTTATATAAATTAGTCAAATTCATATTTTTTGAAAATAAACATTTTTTTTTCAAAGTGCCGTGAATACACCTGACTTGGCTCGTAGTTTTAGTCAAGCCCACATCGCAAATTGTAAAGTATGACACAAGTTAGTTTTTCATTTTTTTTTTCCAAAGGGATCAATAGCACTTCCCCATTTACTCCCATTGTGACTCGAACCGGTGACTAGAAGATCAAATTTTATGATTACATCGGCCAGTAAGATCAAACTTTAAGATCAAATTTCGGTCCTCAAGTTTTTTTCTGTTTTAATTACAAGATAAGAGTTTAAATTTGAGTATTTATTTGTGATTTGAAACATTTGATTTTGTTATTTGGTTACCAAGTTATAACTGTTGATGTGCGTAGCACCTAAATTCAAGAAATCGTATTTAAAAAGACATAGATAGCATTGGAAAGCTTTTTTTTTTTTTACTTACACGTGATATTTATGATAATAACTGTCATACCAACAAAATTGACAAACTTTTGCTAGAATCGTACAGTTCGATGATACAATTCTACAATTTTGATTCTACACTTGAAAACAATTCTTAAGGCTTGGACTAAAAAGCTGAAGGTACATGGTGATATTCAAAGTTCGGAGTTGTTTTAAAAAAAATTTCAAATGAAATGAAATTACAAACATTTGGTTCAAGTGTTAAAAGTATTGTGTCAAGTTAAATCTATGACGTACGTTGGAATATACATGACATAGTGCTTGAAATATTTATTGAGTGAGTTTTACTTATTGAGAAAGAATTACTTAACTCGAATTCAGATAAAGAACTATTCAAGGGTTTTGAAAGATAATTGAACAGCCCAAAAAATTAACATGTATGACGAGAATGTGAACTTAAATATTGATTCAAGTTTGCCCCAATGTTGTACGAATTCATTGTAAAGCTTGAAAAATAACAAGTTACAATGCAGTAGTTTTCCTATTTGTACTCCACAATTTAGCTATGTTTTTCTCTTCTGCGTTTCTGGGGAGCTATAGCATATGTATCTTGAGGCACTGATTAGCTTTAAGAGAGCTGGCTGTATCCTATTTGTGATTTCCACTTCTGTCAGGTTAGACCCTTTATTGATCTGCATCAGATGGCAACACTAAAAATAAGTACCTAATAAGAACATCACAGGCTACGAAATGATTTTATTCATTGTGTTTCTTTAAAGACACAGCGAAAACTAAAACCTCTTACCCCAGCTACTATGGAGACAGAAACCATGTTATCTCCGAAAGAAGTAATCTTTGTACTTGCCGGAGTTAAATCGAGCTTTATGATCTCACTTGCGATATCTTCTTCTCTGATTAATTCCATGGTTTCTTTCTTACACTCGAATTCTACCACCACACATCCTTTAGAAGTTTGGAGTTTCCTTTTCTTCATTGATGGCTGATCATCTTCCTCATCCTCCTTCTCCTCCTCATAATCATTGTTATCATCAACATCTTCATCACCATCATCTTCATCTTCATGGAAGTGACTGGCAATGGCAGAGTTTTCTACTTTTCTGTACTATGAACAGATTCTGCATCCATTTCCCCCTTCAGTAACCTTAATTCTTCGGTAGTCTGTTTCAGTCTTTCTTCAAGTTCTTTCAATCGATCAATAGCTCCATCAACGAAAGATGTCTTGTCATACTAAAATATTCATGACAACAAAATTTCAAACAGAGATTATATCAATTTTACGCAAACAACAATAACTTGGTTCCATAAAGATCATATGGCGCTATCAAGCTAGCTCTATGAAGTTACATATATTTTCCTATTGGAGCATCTACTGGTCTCCTATGCACTTATACCCGAACGAAGACAAATGTGATTCGCTCAAAATCTCTTATTATACTATTCTCACTTTCTTTTTGGTGTTTTCATTACAGATATTGACTAATGTTGTCCACTTTGAACATCTATCGACTCTTTTTCATTTCTACTATCGACAGTTTCTATCTTTATCATACTTGGTACGTAGACCAATAATTTGATCCATAAATTGTAAAACCTCAGTACATGTATGTAGCTACTTAACTAGTACGCACTACTTTCTTTTCAATTTCACCAAAAATTTACATTCACAAATCACAGAGTATGGACACCGTTCTCTATTTTTTCGACTGAAAAAGAACAATCACGGGAATTGATTTTATATATAGATATCACCCATGTCCGAAGTATAGCTAATTAAATGAAAAACAAAAAAAAAAAAAAACAAACAAAAAGACACAAAATCAGGAGACCAGAGTTCTTCTTGGTACCTTTTTGAGGCCAGGAAGTAATTGAGACAGAGCCCTGAATCGTTGGGAAAGCTTCTCTCGTCTCTTTCGTTCCAACATAACATGATATCTGGCTTGGTATGGCGTCCTAACAACCTTCTTCACAGTAACTGGGAGTTGTTGAATTTCTTCCAAGTCTTAGGAAGCTGAAGAACTACTGCTACTGCTCGCGGCAGAGGCAGAGAAATCCATATTTTTGTTCTCCTTAAAACTAATCATTGCTGGGAAATGATCTGTCCTCTTTTCAGTACTTGCAAAAAATCTCGTGTTCAATCTTACAAGGTTTGAACCAGATTTGCCTGCTTCATTATTAGTGCTGAAGGTTGCAGATGAGCTTGATGAGCTCCCAAAAGAAATTAACTGAGTTGTGGATGAATTGGAGGTTGGTTTAATTGCAAATAATGGAGCTTTAGGGGCCTTTGAAGAAATATGGATATCTGCAGGATTGGAAATTGATGGGTAGTTCTTCGTCCCAAGTTGCAACGTTGTATCCTAGTAAGAAAAAAAGTTAAAACACATTTTACATTGCCGGGGGCTTCATATGATGAATCAATCGATGACATAATCAAATTCATACTTCCGATTTGTTCCACAACAAGAGTTCGTATGTTTAATTATAAACAACAAAACAAACAAAACTCTTATTTTGGGAGGGATGGGTGAAAATTCTTACTGACAATGATAAGCATCTTGCTTGAAAAGGATCCATAACAGCTAATTAGACCTGCCAGAAAAAGGAGTTGACCAGATTGATCATCTTCGTTGTAAGAAAATGGTAACCGAATCAAAAACTTTCATAACAATTCACTTCCTCCGTCCTGAAATTATAATCCAGTTTAGATTTTCATTTTCCGCAATTGTCACTTGTCAGGGTAGTTAGAAAATGGGGCTGCTTAGCCGCCAGAACAGTTTATTTGTGGGATGCTGAACTGCCAGACAGGTTCAACCGGGTTGCTAGGTGCTGGCCTAGGAATTTTTTTTTTTTTAAAATTTGTGTAATAAATTTGTTTTTTTTAATAAGATCATGTTTAAGTAGATTTTTTGTAGATAAATTTGTTTAATTAGTTAGATTTAGGGTTTAGGATATTCTTTTTATTTTTTGTATTTAAATTAGTTGTTGTAAGTATTATTTATATAGAAGTTGTTTATAAGTTTTTTTTAGTTTGTAATAAAGTTGTTATTTACCTCGGTAAATAGTTTTTTTTTAAAATTGTTATTATGTAGTTAGTAGTTATTATAATTTAATTTCACATGTTTGAAGAATTTTCATATTGAATTTGCATAGTAAGTTATATTTTTTAAAGATAATGTTTAAGTAGGATTTTTTTTTTTGGTTAATGAAGTTGTCTAATTAGTTAGAATTCAAGGTTAAGATATCATTTTAATTTGTTATAAGTTATTTTTAAATTAGTTTAGAAATTATTGAAATTAGTTTATTTTATTTTATTTTGTAATAAAGTTACTATTTGCGTAGGTCAATAGTTTTTTAAGTTGTTATCTATGTAGTTATTATGGTATTTAAGTTAGTGGAATTTGACGATGTATAATTTAAATTTTGCAGATTCCATTGCAAGATTATGGTGGTAACGGTATTGATTACAGTGGTAATTTCGTCACAAACACGAGATTTGAGACTATTGATGACGTGATAAATTGGGCAAAAAATATTGCAATTAAGATTGGTTTTGAGTTGGTGATTTCTTCAAAGAAAAGTGAAACAAAGAAGTTATTGAGATATTCACATGGTGAACGGGATAGAGGGAATGCAGAGACTTTGGTGAGACATATAAAGACTAAATTTACGGGATGTCATTTTCAGATTATAGCCCAACAACGCCCAGAGTCTATTTATTTTGGAATCCGTGTTGCCGCCGGATATAAGGGTTTCGCAACCATTCATTGGCTATATACAAGGAGGGATATCGTCAGATAAGCAGGCTTAGTGACAAGTCAAAGGACATTGCACTGGAAATGTTTATATTTGGGGCAAAGCCAGCTGCAATTTTGGAGACAATTATGTCTCGGAGGACAATGCTATCATGAAACAAGTGTACAACTTTAAAGCTAGGAGGCAGCTAGAAAACTTCGAGGGCAAAAATTTGGTGAAAAGCAATTTTATAATATAGCTCGGAAGCACAAGTACGTAATGTTTACAAATACGGATCAAGATACAGGTGTGGTGACTCGTGTTTTTTTGGTGCATCCACCATCAGTCCAGATGTTTCGAATTTACCCCTGGTACATTGGCTTGGATTCTACATACAACACAAACAAGTACAACATGCCATTGTGCAAAATTATAAGGATGACTCCAACTAACAAAAATTTCTTGATTGCATATGCAATTATGAGGGATAAAAAGAAAGGGAGCAACAATTGTGTATTGAGCTTTAATCAGATACGATATGCATCTGACAGCTATTATAACTGATAGGGAGTTGGGACTACTAGAACCGGTTAGTTTGATTTTTTCAAATTCTGCCCACATGCTTTGCACGTGTCATATGAACAATACGGTGCATGAGAACGCGCGTTGTCAATGTGGAATAGATTATGTGAAGTGGTCTAATCACAACACCTAGAAAAATATTGCAGAAACTCCTACTGAATCGGAGTATTAATTCGCCGTACTAGGTATGAAAAGGGTCAGGCATCTAAAGAAGGATGTGTATGAGAGATTGGTGAAATATGTCGAAAACACTTGGGAAACACATAAGGAGAATTTTGTTCTTGCATGGACGAACAAGGTGACACACTTTGGCAACATCAATAATTGTAGGGTCTAGAGTGCCCACAACGTGTTGAAGCAATTTCTTCAATCGGTGACCAATTTGTTAGATACGCGGCCGAGGATTCACGCGGAAATCAAGTATCATTTAACCCAGATTAGGCACATGATTACATTATTGCTTTTTTTTTTCTTTCCATCCTTAGTTATTTTTCAATAGTAGTATATTAATAAGAGCGCCCGATCTTTTTAGCCCCTAAAGTATTTTCCGGTTCAATTTCATCCATAATATTTTTTCCTGTGAAAAAATTTATCCTGATAATTTTTTTTATAAAAAAATTGGTCCTATTGGCTGGATCTGGCTACTATTCCAGCGAAATATGATTTTTTTAATTATTTTTAAGAAAGGATAATTATATATTTTTCCCAAAATTCTATAATTTTATCAATTTCACCCCAATTTTTTCAAAACGTTTTTTAATTAAACCCAATTTAACTAGCATGTCACTCTTTCAATTTTACTCTATTTGTTTTTATTTATCCAAATCAAATCTTTCTATCAAAAAATATAAAGTGTCCTACATTGTTTACCTTATTCTCTCTCATATATATCACGGACAAACTAATCTTAAATATTTATTTATTTATTTATTTATTTATTTTCTTCTCATTATTTTTTTGCTCTAATGGCACTATGCTAAACAAAAAACAAACGCTTCACCATTTACTCCGTTGGCCCATACAAAATTATAAAAATATAATTGGAAGAAAATAAATAAATAAATATATTAGGATATTTTTAGTTTATTTGTCATAAAAATGAGAGATACTAGGGTAAATAGTGTAATGATTTTATATTTTTGGAAGTAAGATTTGATTTGATAGCATATATTATCTTTTTATATTTTAGTAGGAATTTTTTATTCCCATGGCCTAATACTAAACCAATAATCATATCATTTACCATTTTACTCATAAACTAAAAAATCAATAAAATAATAATGTAACTTAGAAAACAAGTATAGAACAATAAAATAAATTTAATGAATAATATTAGATTAAATACATTTTTTATAATAAATTATTTTAGAAAAATTTACATTCACAAAAATTTGTTTAAATTTCTTTTATGTTTTTCACTCTAATGCTTTATTTTTACCCAACTAACTACTTTTTCAGATTAAAAAAGTTTGTATTTCTAAATATTCATCTTTTTAATCTCTTATTTGACCTTTTTACCTGAAAATTTTTTTCTAAACCTTATTGCTGTTTACCTTATCCCTATTTATTATGTCAAAAAAATTAAAACAGTGAGGATATTCAAAATATAATGTTTTTTGTTTTTATTGTTTTATTGACGTTAACTAACACATAAGAAAAATCAAATAGGGTTCTAATTTTTTTAGGTGAAATATAAAATAATGAGTAAAAGAAGATGACAATGAAATTTTAGACTTTGAGAAAAAGGTGTTTGGGAAGAATGAATTGGACTTAAAAAGGAAAAAGAAATCCGATTTCACACTTTTTTTTTGAATTTTACAATATTTTTATCACGAAATATTTTATTAATTTAATATCATTTATTAAAATTATTTTATTATTTTGGAGGTATTCATTTTTTATATTATTATTTCATAATTTTAGAATTTTTCGGGGGTAAAATATTAAAAATTTATAGTTGATTCAATAATAGGCCAACAGAACAAAAAAAAAAAAACTAGGGATAAAAAAAATGTTTTAGAATATTTTTTAGTTTCTTCATGGTAAATAAGATAGAGAATAGGGTAAACAATGTGGTAAATTTTACATTTTAGATTAGTAAGATTTGATTGGGATAAATAAAATTAAATAGTGTAAAATTAAAAAAATGATGTGTTAAAGTTAAAATTGGGTTTAATTAAAAAAAATAGGGTAAAATTGATAAACTTATAAAATTCTGGGAAAACTCTGGAATCACCATTTCTTAAAAATAATTAAAAACTCATGTTTCGTCGGAATAGTGGCGGATCCGGCCAATAGGACTAATTTTGAACAAGAAAAACTATCAGAATTAATTTTTTCACGTGAAAAATATTAGGAATGAAAATTGAACTGAAAAATATTTTAGGGACTAAAAAAATCGGGCACACTATTAAAATACTTTAGTCGTGAAGGTTCAAGGTGTCGTATGATTCGGGCGTGCACTGGTTTTTCATTTACCCATCTAACACTACATGTCTCAAACTATTGTTTAGAACTACTGAATATTGAGTTCATCTGGATGCAAGACTTGGGTGAAGAAGTAGATGCGCTATGCCGTTGTGTATTGAGAAAAACTCATGGGGTTCCCTGTGCATGTGAGCTGAAGAGAGCATATGATTTGCAGGTGCCAATTAGTGTACAATGACTTCATCCGTTTTGGAGGAGACTTGATTTTGAGGATTCAGCCGCTGATTCGAATCCTGCAGGTAATGATGATGAGTTAGAGGATCACCAGATTTTTAGGAGTCTTGTCGATGAGGTGTACACTTGGGATCTTGCATTAGTTCGACGCATCAATATTCTCCTCCATGATTAGTTTCACCCGGATCAAATGGCTTATCAGGAAACGGCGGTTAAGGTTGATATCAAAGGGAGACTGAACGGGAGTACACTACCAAACGTTTACCGAGTTTGTGGGAGCATCCAAATGGTGTTAGGCGTTCTCGCAAGAGAACTTTGTCACTTAGGCCCACCACTACGTCATCCATGCCTACAGACGATACAGATGGTACAAATGGGTATATTATTTGATTTTTATTGTTATCTAAAAATGTATTCTAACGACAACATGACTGTTATTTTGTAGATATTACAGGCGACTGGCAG